AGATGGGTTGGAGACTGAATTATTTATACAAGGAATTTAGCCAGATTGTAACTGAAAGTGCCGATAGATGAAATGATGGGTCTAAGAGGAATTCCAGATTTGTGCACTTTCGGGAGACCATACATAAAACCAGGACGAGAGCCAGATGCAAGGATAGACTGATGTGTGGCTTCACCGAGGTAAGCTTTTTAAAGGTCTTACGATTTTAATTAGTTTGCCCTCTAGTTTTAAGAGGTGAGTGGCTAGATCAACATTTAACACTTTGAATTTTGACGAGTCAGAAAATATAGAGGAAATTTTGTCCAAGTAATCAGTTTTGTATGTGTGCGGCGTGGCGGTATGTGTGTGATTGTGGAAGACGTGACGGCAGTCACGGCGGAGGCCCTGTTTTCCATTCTTTTGTATATATTCGTTCTTTCTTTTACTCTCTTTTATATCTCTGCGTCATGTCAAATGAGGATTTTTTTCTAGTTTTCTTGCTAATGACGTCAGGTCACATGACTGACATGACTAGAGTTCCATGTTATGTGTTTGTATCTCTATGTGTGCGTGTGTTTTTGTGTGCGGCGTGGCGGTATGTGTGTGATTGTGGAAGACGGTGACGGCAGTCACGGCGGAGGCCCTGTTTTCCATTCTTTTGTATATATTCGTTCTTTCTTTTACTTTCTTTTATATCTCTGCGTCATGTCAAATGAGGATCTTTTTCTAGTTTTCTTGCTAATGACGTCAGGTCACATGACTGACATGACTAGAGTTCCATGTTATGTGTTTGTATCTCTATGTGTGCGTGTGTTTTTGTGTGTGACATTATCACGCGATTTGCATATCATACCACATGGTTACATCACGAGATTTTCACACTATGTGACAGTATCTCGTGATTCTCCCCGCCTGAAGAAAAAATAAATAAATAAAAGGCCGAGGATAGGTCAAGATAATCACTCTCCAGCCTGACCTTTGATCTTGCATTATGTCTCGCCATCTTTCGAGTGTTCGCTCTCGTAGGCCACGGTCTTCCCCTGCCATCCGCTCCTTTAGCTTCGAGGAGGAGGAGGCGGTGGGTGACCCAAGGCCTTCGAATTCCGGGGGTGTTCCTCGCATGAGGAATGCACCTGACCTTCTTTACCCCTTTCACTATTGTCTGATGAGGAGAGCACGCCGCCGACAAGGCAGCGCAGGGCCGAGGGTAATTCCGGTGAGTTTTCTCCCATCATTTTGTTGCGTCAACTTAGCTATTTGGCTTCGTATAGTGTGTCATTTAATCTACGGACTTCTGCGCCACGTTTCACTGTAATTTATTATTATTATTTATGTCATTTTATTTGTAAGCCCTGCATCCTACTTTAGTTTAATAGTTATGGTCCCTCGGACATTCCAGGCAGGCACCAACCCCCTCAGCCAATCAGAGAGTGAGACAGTTGAGCCCGAGGTGACTGCAGGTTGCATTTGTTTTGTCCTGCACCTGCCCGTTTGTACTTTTGATGTGTGTGGTAACTAGCATCAATAAAACCCACTTGCAACTTTGAGTTTTCAAGAACCTTCAGAGGAAAGAACACAGAAGAAGAATAAAATAACTTGATTATTGAATTTAACTAATGTGGCAATATTGTGTTAGATGTATCTTTATTAACAGTTAATGGAAATAGGTTAGTTTGAAAGTGTACTTAAATAATTAAGTGTTTTCTAAGATAGCTCAACGGAAGTGTGCAGGCGTGACAAGTCTTTTTGTTGTCCGGCAGAGCGTAAGATTGATTTTTTGTCTATCAAGTATTTGATTTTGTTACGATTATTAACTTTGCTTGCTTGATTGATTAAAGTAATAACTTAGAAATACATAATTTGTGCTTATTAAGATTAACCCTTTGTTTATTATTTTAGAATATTCTTTTAGAATAATATTCAATTCACAGAGTATGACTATTTAATTTAAGTATTTTCTTCAGTTGTGATCATTATTTTGTGTAATATCTAATTGAATTATGAACTTGAGATAATAAAAAATTCATTTGATATTTTGTTTCATAATATTTGGTTCATTAAGATATAACGTAATTTTGAATGGTGTTGATTTTGCTTTTGTCAAGTTTCATGACTGATAATTATATAACAGTGACTGTCTAGTTGTATGTATAGTGTCAAGATCCTAAATAATGTCTGTTTTTTTTTGTTTTTTTTTTATTTTGTGAATTTATTACATTGCACTGATAATGTTTATTTAATTAATAAACGTATTAATGTTCATAAAGATTTAACTCAATCCTTGAATGACTCTAATTAATAGAATTAATATTGTCACTTTGAAATACATTGATAAATTATTCAAATTACACCATAACTATTAAAAAAAAAAAAAAAAAAAAAAAAAAAACACTTATTAATCTAACATAAGTATTGATATTGAAAAGCATTTAAT